AACTGAAGAAAAGCAACAGCAGCAGAACTGTGAGGATCCAGCAGCTTTCCACACCAGGGATGTGCTGAATGACCAGCACAAGCAGATTTAAAAATTCCCCAAACATGCAATAAGAAAAAGCAGAAAATGCTTAGAACTAATATTCAGAAAGAGTGCATTCGTTAAAACAAACAGGTTTGTTTTTTTTTTAATCCTTCTATTGTTAAACACCCCATTATGCCAGCAGAGGGGAAAAACCCAAAATGCAAACAAAGAGGAAGGTGATCAGGGATGAGGATTAAAGAGGAGGAGCCATAATATTTAAGGCAACAAACAAGCAGAAATGCAATGAACAGACAGGAATAAATTACAGGACACAAAGATTTGCACCCTGTCAAGAGCTCCTGAAGAGTAAAGGGAGCCTGGCCATATCTGCAGTTCTGCCAGCAACACGAAAGTGGATCCACTGCAAGGGTAACCACGAGTCCAGACACTGCAGGAACAGCAATACTGTCAGAGGGATCTCACAGGGATTCTGGTACATCACCCATAAAAAAAAGGAAAACAAACCCAAAACAGGACAGCAAATCATATTGCATGAAGTTAATGCAGGACCACAATGCCAACCAACCACAGCTTCTCTGCTTCTCTCTGACGCTTCAAAAAGAGGAAATAAATTGGACAAACGGGTGCAGAGCCCAAGCAGAAGGAAGCAGATAATGTGACAGACCCAGCAGATATGGAACTTCTGAGCAGAAGCTGAGGTGCAAACCAGAGAGGCACAGTCAGTGACGCTGCAGAGGGAGGCTTGGTAACAAAAGGAACTCGCAGAGAACCTCAGAAAGGGGGAAAGCAAGGCTGTACACAGCCTGGAGACTTTAGAAATTCTATTCACTGCTGTCAGGTTCCTGCCCGGTCTGATTTTATTCTCTCCTATCTCCACATCTCTTCAGGAGGATAAGGGAATTCCTTGTCAGATGCTCAGTAATTTCACTGCTCTACTCCCCTCTGTGCCACTGACAGAGGATCCCATGCCACAAGACAGTCCTGGACTTCAGACCACAACCTCTGTCCAGGCTGATGTCCTACAGGACTCCATGCCCCACACCTTGGTACAGAACCACAGACTCACAGAGTGATTTGGGATGGAAGAAACCTTCGGAGAGCATCTAGTCCAACCTGCCTTTCATTTGTCACTAGACCAGGTTGCTCCAAGCCCCACCCCCATCCAAAATGGCCTTGAACACTTCCAAGGATGAGGCAGCCACAGCTTCTCTGGGCAATCTGTGCCAGGGCCTCACCACTCTCACTCTTTATGTCCAATCCAAACCTACCCTCTGGTACACCTTATGGTCTCTTGAAAGACCAATAACAGGTCCAGGACCAGGGGAAGCAAATGGTTTTAATCCACATTTCACATTTTCCTGGTTCACCAGTGGCACAGGGGGAGCTAGAGAATCTGCAGGAAAAGCTACTCAGGCCACAAACTCAGAAATCAGGATGAAAAGCTAAGGTTTCACTAGCAATTATGAACTTGCTGCTGTTGCACTTCTGCTTTCTCAACAACACAGCTTGTCACAGTTCCCTTCTGGAGTAGCTGAAAATAAAGCAGGAAGCTACCAGTCCAGTTGTTCATATCACTCCACAGCTGGTTCATCATCTACTCCAAAAAAAGAGACTTTCACAGGCAACTGGTTTGCCAGAGCCATGCCTGAACAGGCCCTCGCTTCAATGAGCAAACACTGAGGAAGCAAAGCTAAAGAAAACAAACAAACAAGAAAAAGCAGCAGCAATCCCCTATATGACAGGCCATTATTTCTGACTTGGTAGGAAACATTTAATTCCCATGCTACAGAGGCTCACCCAGATGAGATTTATTCACTCCCATGAGTCACAGAGGTCCCTGCCCGGATTAGATTATGGCAAAGCCTTTGAATTTATATTACGTCAGTGGCTAAGTAAACTACCCTGATAGGAAACAATCACCGAGCAAGGAAGTAACTCATGGACTGAACTCCAGCGCTCACAGGGATGGCACTGGCTTTTGTTACCTATGTGTGTGTGGAAATCATCTGGAATTTGGCATTAACACGAGCTAATGATTAAAGATAAAAAGCAGAGAAGGGGAAAGTAGTGGCAGCAGGTCTTTTTCACAGCACGACACAGCTCAGAGCTCCTGCATTAAAATACTTTCCGTTTTAGACCACTGGCTTTTTATGTAACACAATGCAAGACTCACCTACAATCAATTCCATTTTGGTGACATTTTTTGTTACAGTTCCACCCTCTCCTTCTCATGCCACAAGGATTACTGATGCCAGAACAGCCTGATGAGCTGGTACCTCACACTAATAAGCACGCTGAATCAGCCTTGTGTCCAAGGGAAACAACAGACCATTACCAAGAGCAACAGATACTTCCAAAGGGCACCCTGGATTCACCAGCAACCCCCAGAAAAACAAGGTCTTTGGCTGGCAAGAAACAACACCCCAGTTTATCCTCCCAGAACAAGGGGCCTCTTTCCATCTCCTTTCAGCACCAGCACACACAACCACTCGTGTTAAATGAGATGTTAACCCTGCCAGAGACACTGAACTTTCCAACTTACACATCGTGTCTCCCCCTGTTCCCTCAGAATAACCACAGCCAAAAGCTGGTCACTTACAAACTGGGGAAAACTAAGGGGAAATAATGTAGAGAGAGAGGTGGCCTCCCTTATTGACAACCACAGATGACAGCCCCCAAGCCCCACCACGACGATTCCTTGGTTTCCTGCAGGATTGTATCCCTTTGGCTCTGGGACATCAAAGCAGGTCTTCCAGATGAAGCCTTTCATCCCCTGGAAGTAACCATGCTCTGCTGTTGTTTAGTTAGCCTCTGTGATGTTACACATAGCATTGAATAGCTGTGTGTGTCATGGATTTATTTTCAGGGCATAACAGTGCTCTCCATATCATTCTCTTTTCCTCCCACTCCCCAGCAGCCAATTTGCTTTTCTGGCCACTGTTGAGCTCCAAGTTGACATCTTCCAAAATTTAATCCAATTCCAAGCGCTTCCTCAGCCTAAATTTTATTTGGAAGAGAGTCACAGCACAAGGCCAGATCGAAACACAAAACACACAGGTATCAGCAGTCTTGGATAATCTTTGATAAATCTTGGACGACGTGAGGCACACACGCAGATAGAGGACAAACATACCTGCTTTCTCAACTGCCACACAGCATCCTTGGCAGAAAAAAAAAATCTTCTCTAGCTATGAAAAGCACATGAGATAGAGTGAGCCCACCTACAGTCTGCCAACTTGACCTTCTCAGAGCTTGAAAAGCAAGTGGGAGAGAAGCACGCTTTTGTCTTGCTATTAAATCTTAAAATAGCAATGTGTAGGAGAATCCTACCCTCCTGCCCTGTGCACTAAGCTGAGGGGGAAGGGAAGAATGGGGTGGAGGAAAGGTTGAAGTCAAGCTGAATTTTCTGCTGAACAGGGTCTGAGCTGACCAGAGATGCCAGGAGACAAAGGATGTCTGCCTAGAATCTCTTTTCTAACTCCAGGCTGTCTGCCATTGTATGCACAGCCTAGTTACAGTTCACTGAATTAACACAAAAAAAATGAATTGATTTCCATAATGAAAAAGCCTCTACATGGCTCCAGAGTGAGACAAGAAGAAAGGGCACAACAGCTCGGGAGGATGTAAAAAAAATTAATCAAATCACTTTTTGCCTGTTGAAATACAGTTTTGAGCTCCCAAATGAACAGTTATTTTTAGCTGATCATCTGGAAATTGAGAGGGAATACAAAGCATCAGGGTCAGCATCACTGTCTGCAGGAAGCCAGTACATAGCCTAGAGAGAGGCAGTCAGGCACCACACATCTGCAGCATCAGCACTGCACAGGGACCAGCAGCACGGCTCTATTTATAACCCAGCCGTGTGCAGCTGCACTCTGCAATGAAGGGCTGGGATTGCAGGCTGCCAGCCCTCAACAACACGCTGCCTGATTTAATTAAAGAGATGGCAATGTGCACATGCACACACAGATGCATACATGTCCCAGAAGAGTTACCAACAGTGAACTCGCTGTTTTGAAAACAATGCATTTCACCAAGGTTACTGTGCAGGCAGCAGGCAAATGTGTCCTCAAACAACCCCTCCACTTCCTCACTCTGCTCTGTGACCAAATATGACCAATAGGCAGCTCACCACTGCTAAGGTAACCACTAGCCCTTGAGTGGTTACTGGGTTTGTAGCCAGTAACCAGGTAGCCCTGAACCGGAAAACAAAGTCGCTGTAGTATTTATATGCACGAAGAGAAGAAATTCGTTTAGTTTGCAAACAAGGTATTTGGGAGTCACACACACCTTTGCATCAGGACAGCTTGCTGTGCCATCAGGTTCCATTTAGAGGTGAAACCTGCTTTCACCTCTAGCTCTGCCTGTCAGCGAGCAGTCAGAGGGAGCATTTCCTTGTTGTGGGACTAGAAATCAAAAGGCTCTATCACGTCCTCCCTGCTCCCACTCTCACTTCCCATACTCCCTGCGAGCTGGACACTTCTGCCATGAGTCCTTCAGCCAGGGAGCAACAGCAAAGGACAGGAGGAGAAGACGTGCTGCGGTCAGGCTGCAGTGTGTATAGCACTGTTGGTACACAATGAGCAACTTGCTGACAAAATACTGGGTTACGAATGGCAGCTGCTAGTGAGGCAAAAGCAGCCATAAAGGAAGCTCAGAGATCAGGTCGCAGCCTGGCCCCTGCTGTCCTCTCAACCCCTGGGAGTCTTTGGCTGCATGAGGACACCCCACAGATAACATGAAGCTAGTTCCCCATCTAGGGATCACCAAGCACATCCTTGCTGTTCTGCCTCCACCCCAAACAAAACCAAACCTCTTTTAAAGGTCCTCGCAGGAACATGGGAAGGGATGTTAGGGTTGTATTCCCCTGGGCTTGTTCTGACAGTCATGGCAAATACAGTCCCCAGTGTCTTTGCTCACAACCTTATGTGGCACTCATTCAAAATACAACAAACCTGTCCTGGAGGAAGTGATGCTTCTGGAGTCCAAGTCGAGCTTCTTGACCAGGGTATCAGGGTCAATCTTCAGCCCAGAAAAGACATCAGAAGATGAGAAGTCCCAGTCCTTATCCAAAAGAAACATTAACCAGGAATCAGTATAAACACGACCAGGCAACATTTAGTTAAAAAATCCCCCCCCCCAAAAAATCAAACCTAACACCATCCAGAAGGGGACAGTGGTAGGGAGCAGGTGCCTCTCCTGAGCTGGCAGGGGCAGGTAAGTCACCCCATTGGCCTGCCTGCCCCCCGCCAGGCTCTTCCACACAGAAGGAAGTTTCACAAAGTCTCATTTTGGACTGTTCTGCTCCTAACAGATTTCTGCTTCAACCCGACCTCACCTCACTGAAGTGCATTCAGGAGAGCTCTCCCAGAAGAGCTTCGAACAGCATCCTTAGGAAACGACAGATTTATTACAGGTACAGAACAATACAGATAAGCAACAAATGAGCAGATTAGGGGATTAAAGCCTAAAGCGATGGACATTAAGCAGATTCAGTGACTACTAGCAACTCACTAGATCTTTGGCATCATGCTTTAAGCATGCAACGCCTCTAAGTCCTAAGCTCTGCGGTAGCTACTCTGGTTGGATTAGAAGAATTTATTACTTTAGCCAGCAGTATCTACCAGCACTGACACATAACTTCATAGTGGTATAAACCCAGCTGTATTTGACACAGGCAATTCCTCCACCCTCACAAGGAAAGCTTAGGCACATAAAAAACATTTACTGCTGTTGTGTTCTTGCTGTGAGGGGGCTAGGGAAGGCATCCAGCTTTAATCTGAAGTGTGTACTCATAACATAGCTGGGGAAACCAGACACTGTCTGCATCTCCTACATGATTGTGTGTGCAAACTGACAGCTCCTCTCCACCTGCCCTAACCTAAAATCAAAGAGAACCACTGCAAAATGAGCCAGGCAGCCTCTTCTCTCACCCCTTCTCTCCCAACACTTGTTGGCAATGATCCTCACTGCTGCATCCAAGTCACCCCCACTGCAACGCAGCACAGGCACCCTGTCCCCAGCAGCAGGAACAGTGCTGCCACCCCTCTACATCTGTCACCACCCTGCGTGGGCTCTCTGCAAGCCTGGGGATCGCAGCTGCTGCTGCGGGGCGGTGACACCCGCCCTGGGGCAGCACGCTGGGCCTCCCACTGCACACAGGCAGGGCCCGGTGCTGGAGCGCTCCCCGGGCTCCCCCGTTCGGCCTCCTGGCCCGCCGTGCCCGTGTCACACGCTCCCGCGAGGCAGCAGCAGCTGCCCGGCAGCACCGAGCCCGCAGGAGCAGCACCAAGGGCCCGGCAGGGCTTTCCTAAGCAGGAGCAGCCCTCGGCCCGGCCTGCGGGGCCTGCCCGCCCTTGCCGCCCACCACCGGCGCCTCCCCGCGGCCGGGCCCGCGGGTCATCCACCGACACCGCGCCAGGGCCCCGCGCTCGGGGCAGCCCCGGGAGCCGGAGGGGCCGAGCGGGGCTGCGGGACCGGCCCTTCCTGCGGGAGTGGGGACAGGGGTGTCACTGCGGCCCGCGTCTGCCCGCCCGCGGTACCTTCCCGGGGCCGGGGCCCGGCTCGGACGCGGGGAGCGGCGGCGGGTCCCGGGCGGGCCAGGCCCGGGGGGCGGCGCGGTGCAGCCGCGGGCGCTTGGCTTTCCCCACCATGGCGGCGCGGAGCGCGAAGGGGCAGCGCGGCCTGTGCCACGCCCGGGGCCGCCCCCACCGGGGCGGGATCTTCCGGCTGCACCGCCCGCCCCTGGGGCCGCCCCGGGTCCGGGCACTCGGGAGTGCTCCTCCCTACCCGCCCTGCGCGGGCAGAATTCGGGAAGCGCTCCCTGCCCACTCGTAGCGCTGGGGCGGGATGGCGGCGGCTGAAGTGTCCGCGCTGTGCCGCCGGCCGCCCGCCGGTGGTTGCCGTGTGGCGAGCGGTGGGGCGGGCAGCCTGCCCGAGGCGGCTCCTGGAGACAGCCAGAGGGTGTTCAGGTGCTCGCTCGGCGCCCTTGGGTTGAACCCGGACACTCTGCGACACAGAGCTCTCGGTAGCACCAGCCAGAGACCGGGCTGCCACGGCAGAGCAGAAAACAGCTCGTAAAACTTCATGCCAGAAATTATTTCTGTAGTTGAAACAGCAGAAAATACCCGGCGAGCCTCCAGGGAGCCCGAACACCTGCCAGTCATGGGTCCGGGCTGACACCCCAGCGAAGCAACTCGGGCCCCAGCTGCACCTTTCCACACACAGAACGGGGTGAAATGCTAAGCTGCTCCTCTTCCCTCCAAGGTGAATAAAAAGCTCCAGGCCTGGAGCCACGGTTGTTTTGATCTTAACAAGCCCTGACAGGTGCTCCCTGCTTAATACATCTTCGTTTTCCATGTTCACTGCCCTCCCCGTCCTCCTCTGAGCTGTGTTTCCCAGACCTGACACTGGGCCACAGAAGTGCGCAGCTGGTGACCCTCCCTGTGGGTACCAAGAAAATGAGGGGAGAGGCCTTTGGGAAGGTGCTGGGAAAGAGCATAGAATCATAGAATATCCTGAGTTGGAGGGGACTCATGAGGATCATCGAGTCCAACTCCTGACCCTGCACAGGACACCCAAAGAATCCCACCACGTGCCCAAGAGCATTGTGTAACCGCTTCTTGAACTCAGTCAGGCTTAGTGCTGTGACCCTGAGGAGCCTGTTCCAGTGCTCAACCACCCTCTGGGTGAAGAACCTTTTCCTAACATCCAGCCTAAACCTCCCCTGACTCAGCTCCGGCCGTTTCCTCGAGTCCTGTCACTGGTCGCAGAGAGCAGAGGTTGCTGCTGCCCCTTGTGAAGATGTTGAAGACCACAATGAGGTCTCCCCTCAGCCTCCTCCAGGATGAACAAACAAACTGACCTCAGCTGCTCCTTATAAGCACCTTCACCATCTTTGTTGCCCTCCTTTGGATGCTTTCTGATAGCTTAACGTCTTTCTTATATTGCAGTGCCCAGAACTGCACACAATATTGAAGTGAGGCCACCCCAGAGCAGAGCAGAGCGAAACTATCCCCTCCCTCGGCTGGCTGGCAGCGCTTTGCCTGACAGCGCCCGGGACACCGATGTCCCTCCTGGCTGCCAGGGCACTGCAGACTCGTATTCAACTTGCCCTTGACCAGGACCCCCAGGGCCCTTCCTGCAGATGCTCTCCAGCCTCTCATTCCCCGGTCTACACACACAGACAGGGTTGCCCCGTCACAGGTGCAGAATCTGGTGCAGCCCTTGTTAAACTTCATACACTGGTACGTGGTCACAATCAGGTGTACCCCTGTGCAAATACTACAAGGTTGAAAATACAAAATATTTCTGAGGGTGGAGATCCCACAGCTGCCTGAATCCTCTCTTTTAGTTGGAGTATGTACCTGGGGACACACCTGGGAATCATGGAATTACATAATGGTTGAAAGGGACCTTAAAGATCATCTTGTTCCACTCCTCTACCACTAGACCAGGCTGCTCTGAGCCCCATCCAGCCTGGCCTGGAACACTTCGAGGGATGGGGCATCCACCAGATTTAATGTTTGTTAGGGATAGAAGATTTAATGTTCATCAGGAATAGAAAATAACAACAGGAAAACTTCCTTGCTGTAGGCTGGATGAGCATCATTTAGGAGCAAAGGCCCAAAATAACATCTCTGATCACCAAAATCAGTGACTTTGGGGAACAGCCACTCTGAGAGTACCCAGCTGGATGCCACCCGCCCCAGCTGCTTGAGTTTATCCTGCAAAAACCGCAGCAGTCCTCCAGACAGTGGTGAGGGGAAACACAATCTACTCTAGTAAAAATAAAATGAGGAACGAATAAAAATAAAGGCAGCTGAAAGAAAAGAGAAAGAGGAACGTTTAACAGCTTAAAATGCTTACAGACAGGCTGGAGAGCATACACACCATGACCAAGCACATGTCCCCAAAGGGTGCCCACCTCCTTCAGCTGCAACACTCAAGGCTAAAGCTGCAGGAGAGCATGAGGAACAGCTGGGAGGAACTGGAATATACCAGCAAGCTTCAGCTTTGGCTACAAGGACCAATGGTACGCCTGCTCTGCTCCTGCCACCCCGACTGCAGGGGCTCCCAGCTCTCCCACCGTCTTCCCTCAACCTTTAGTCAGTTGGAACAGAGTGGTTGGACAAACCCTATGAAATAACTGAGGAGGACAGAGCAGCTCGTTAAGGGCCTCATGCAATACGAAAGCAAAATTACAGCTCATCTCACTCAACCACACTTCCTTCCCTCAGATCTGCAACCTCCATCACCAGCAGGAAGCCCCACCAGCCTTCCCAGCTTCATCCGCCCCAGCCCACTCACTCCTGGCCTGGGGGCTGCTCTGAAGCATCCAGCTGTAGCCACCCAAGCTGGGGTGAGCACCCCAGCTCCCAGCTGGCTCATCCTCAGGCCCCATCCCCACCGTATCCTGCATCAGCTGCTCCAGTGCTCCCATCCCACTGCCAGCACTACTGTGTCGCTTTCCTGCTACACCTGGCTGTGAAGAAACCAAGCCAGAGCTCTGCTGTCTTCTTTAATAAAAGCATTAACCCATGGAGCATCCATTAGCGCACAAAAGTTTTTGCTGGCACTGCAATCTCTTTGCTTGCTGCAAAAATAAACCCAGCTCTGTAACTGTAACACAGCAGCAGGTGAACAGCATCAGGGTCTTATGATGCCTCAGGTCGCCCTGCCCATGGCAGGGGGTTGGAATGAGATGGTCTGTAAGGTCCCTTCCAACCCAAACCCGTCTCTGAGTCTGTGATAATGCAACATGGTGAGTCAACATCAGGTTGCTTGGAAGGGAAACCTACAAAGAAATTAGCAAAGCCTCACATTATCTTTAAAAAAAAAATCTACAGTCTCGTATGTTTTCTAAATGACTTCAATTAATAACTTTTACTGTAATGCCTTGAAGAGGTTAAGAGAAAGTTGACAGTGGCTGGTTCCTCTCTGCTCAGGGACGTGCTGCTGCAATTGCTTTGGAAGGAGTTATTGCAGCCGGCACAAGAAAATTTGAAGGCTGCTTAAATAAAGTTCCCCATGCAGCCCTGAGCTTTGCCACTGCGAGGACAGCGCCTGCATCCTCTGCCGTGCAAGGAGACCTCACTACTCCAGCATAAACATTTCAGAGCCCAACCCAGACCCTGAGGGGAGCCAGCTCTCCATCCTCTCCACACCCAAGGGCTGTCAATAGCTCTCAAAGGAACTAGTTTCCCCCACTACCAGCTTTGTGTGCCCACTGGGGTCTGGGATGGTCCCCAGCAGCACTGTGAAAGGTGAAAAGTGGGCAGAAAGAGTGGGTTTTGGGTGGGTCCCTTTCCCAGGTGCAGTGGGAGGGCTGCAAGACCCCTAGGTAGCCCAGGGAGTTGAGACCCAGCCCCCCAAGGCAAGATGCTGTGGGTTTGACCAGCATGAGTGGGACTGGCTGGGTTCTTGGGGGAACACGCCCTCCCACAGTTACCACTCTGACTTCCTCCTTCCTCCAGCAAGACAGAAATAGGAAGGAAAGATTGGGGTACATCGCAGAGCTCTGGATGCCTGGCTGCTTTTCCCAACCAAGCTTGAGAGGGTGAGACCATCCTCATCCCAGACCAAGCACGGGAAAGAGGTGAAGGCTGGATGCCAGGTGAGCACAGCATCTCTATTTTCTGTGCTTCTGTTCCTCCTTTCTGGGGGGGAAGGCAACCAGGCAACAAAGGGGTTATGTAGCTCTGGTGTTTCCAGGGAATTGTTTTGTCATTCCTGATCTAACTTTTGGCCACTCGAGTTCAGGGGGATTGGTGCAGTGTCCCTCCCACAGGTGGGTCAGTCTGTGCAGTCTTTGCAAAGGCAGCTTGCCTAGTCTGTAATGGTTTTGCTTCTGGAGGTAGCATTGAGCCTGGAACTGCAGGTGGCTGTTGTGGGGAGGGCGTCAGACCCCAAAAAACCCTTTCCTCACCACCCCGCGGGCTCAGAAAGCAGAGCAGAAAGGGAGCAGTGTGCTCCTCTCACGCCCTTACACATGGCACTGGGGAGAGCGGCATGGGCTGTGGGCCTGCCTGCAGCACCAGGGCTGGGGGCTGTGCCAGTCCCCTTCCTGGGACCCCCCTCTTCCTCGTGGGGTCTCACTCCCTGCCTGCAGGGTGTGGTGGGAAAGAGGGAACTGACGTGGCAGCATGGCGTGAGCATGGCAGGGACGGCAGCCTGAGGGGGTTCAGCACGGCGTCACCACCCATTGCAGAGACCTTCCTGGTTGTCCCTGCACCCCTGTGGGCCTGGGGAGAGTAGCTGGGAGTGGGAGTAAGAGCCTTGCTCTTCTCCTCCATACCTCTGTGTGCTGCACACATCAAATACTCCTCAGCCAAGTGACCCCGGGGAGAGCAGGTCCTTCCCAACATCTCAGTGGCTCTTGGATGCAGATGGAATGTAGGGCACACCCCAGATGACAGGGAAAAGCAGCCTGGCCCTCATTTTTGATGCTTTTCCCAATGTCACAGCCACAGCTCCCAGCCTCCTGGCAGGTGAGAAGCAAAGATGTGAACGTATGCAGTGACATCGTGCCCTGGGGCCAGCACGGACACTGGAACATGGCTGCTGCAAGGTGTGGGGAGGCCCTACATGGTGCTTTTTGCTATCACAGCTGTCACATCCTGCTTCACACAGTGGTTTTGCACTTTTCTGTTCTCATTCTGGTGCTGCTAGGAGTGATCTCAGTGTGCTGGAGAGCGTGGTGCCCCTGGACTACCCAGGGCAGGACAACCAGCTGGCAGCTCTTTCCCACCCAAGCAGGGCTTTGACCTAGGGAGACCCAGCAGCACAAATCCCCTCTTTCCCTCTCTCACAGGGCAGGGCAAGGGGCCCACAGGCACCCAGGGATCCTGGTGCTCAGAGCAAACGGATGCCACAGACTAGTTAGGGACTTGGTGCCCATAGGGGA